TAGATCTACTAAAAAGCCATAAGGGATATTAGAGAATGTGCTAATAAAAGCTAGTAAGTACGCTTTCCCTATGGATTTTGTAATTTTAGACATGAAGGATGATGAAGCCTTTTTGTTCTTAGAAAGTGATAAAACCAAAACATATACAATTTTTACATGTTAAAATAGTGCAAAAATTTAAATTTTATATGATTTTTTGGTGCTTTTCATGCTTGTCATAATGTATAAATCCGTGGACCTACCACTAGATGTAGATAAAAGGAGTCACCACCAATCTTTTGTTGTCTAAGTGTGATTGGCCACTTAATTGAATCTGATCTACAAAATAGATGTTAGGTTTGAGAGTTATTATGCATTGAGAAAGTTACAGCACCCCACAATGTCCATCAAAGGATAGTATCAGTTTGATTTCAAATTATCTAAGCCTTGATCATTTTTATGATTTACTAAATAATTTAATATTGAAAATTAACCTTAAAATTGTCCCAATAGTTTCGTAGCAATTTAGGATAATTCTCTCACCTCATGAGTATTTATGGTGATTAGTGTCCCATTCTGAAGAGGCTCTGTCATCGGGTTTATTAATTTTTATTCAAAAAAAAGTAATAAAGCCTCCCAATAGGGCTTATTTCAAAGCAACCCTCCAATAGTTTAGAGGGTAAAAATATTTTTGTTTATTTGAAAAGACCTTTTTTTTTCTTTTTTTTATTAAAAAGATTTATTTATTTATTTTTTATTATTGTGAAAATTTTATTTACAAATTTTTTTTTATACATTCATAAACAAAATGGCAGTAATAACCCTTTTTTAAAATTAAATCCAAAAATATGCATATAAAAAAAATAAAATGGGTTAGAAATAAAATTAAATAAAAATAAAATGAAAAAAAGAAAACCTGCGATCGGGTTAGGTCGGTACCAAGGTTAGTGCGCGAATCCTGATTTGGGTTCACATGGATTCTAAGCGGCCAAAACGACATGGTGTAGAGGTGGTATATAAGTCAGGTCCATCGCCCTTCTACTCAAAAGCCTTTTCCCCTCTCTCTCTAGCCCTAGAAGCTCTGCCTTTTCTTTAGAATTCTCCCAAGAAAACATTGGCAATTTCAATCGAAAACTAAAAATCTTACTAGTTTCTAAGGATGTCACTAGAAAATTCAATTGAAAACTGGAAAGCCCATTGGTTTCTAGAAAACTTTATGGATTCTGGAAATCTCATTGGAATCTCACCGAAACTTTAAACTTTCGCTGAAAAATCCATCGAAAAATTTAAATCTTCATCGAAAAACTCATCCAAACCTAAAAAAACCCAAAAAAATCCTAAAAAAATTCCTAGAAAGCTCTAAATCCTTTCCAAAACATTTTTTAACCTTAAATTCAACTCTAGAAACCTAGAATCACACCTAGAATTTGGAATTAAACCCTAAATCCCGACTTCCAAATTCCAGAAACCCTTACTGCTAGAATTTTTCTAGACCCTTTTCCTCAAAATTTTTTTGTGTCTTCTTTTTGTAAAATTAGTCCAATTTATAGGCAGTCTTAGGAATGATTTTTAGGAAATGGATAGAATCAATCCTAGGCTGAAATCCTGGGATTGCATTCTGTCCAACGTGATTTTTGCTTCAAAATTTTAGCAATTCGATTTACAATTAAAACTTTAACCAAGGATCCTGATTTTGATTCTCTTTGCGATCGTCCACATGCAAATTGGATAAAAAAGGAAAGCAAAAAAGAAAAAAAAAAAACACAAAAAAAGAAAAATATAATAATAATAATAATAATATTATTATTATTATTATAATGTAATAATAACAACTTAAAAAAAGCTATCTAATTGGACTCGGGCAAGGATGGGCCTAATTAGGCCCCGACACAAATTGGCCTAATCGGGCTCGGACGTCAATGGGCCTAATTGAGCCCAGACATCAATAGGCCTAATTGGGCCCAGACATCAATGGACCCAATCGAGCTCGGATATCAATGAGCCTAATTAGGCATGGACACAATTGGGCGTCTATAACTGCCCCTCTTTACACATCTTTGTTAGGCAAAGATGTTGTAAAGACCTAGACACCCACTTTATTTGAGTCGAATCAAGAACGATCTTCGAATTTAAAAAATGAACTAAATTGAACTAATATCGGGTGATTGGGACCAAACCACAAGTCAAGATGGAATGACCAAGATTGAGTTAAGGTAAAAAATAAATGATCGGGATGAAACCATGAATCATAAGAAATGATCTGGACTGAGCTAAGATTAAGTGATCAGAATGATACCATGAGTCAAAATAAATGACCAAGACAGAGTCGAGATAAAAAATAAATGACTAGAACGAAACTGTGAATGAAAAAAACTGATCTGGACTAAGCCAAGATCAAGTGATCGTGATAAAATCACGAGTCCAAAAATAAGCGACCAGGAAGAAGTACAGGTTGAAAGTAAATGACCAGGACAAAACCATGAATCATGATCTATACTAAGCCAAGATCAAGTGACCAGGATGAAATCGCGAGTCAAAATAAAATGATCAAGATGAAACCACGAATCATAAGCAATGATTTGGATTGAGTCAAGATCAATTGATCGAGATGAAACTATGAGTAAAAAATGAAATGACCAGGATCGAGTCGAGGTCAAAAATAAATAACAGGATGAAACCACGAGTCATAAAAAATATTTTAGATTGAGCCAAGATCAGATGAGTGGATAATGTAAATGCATGTCTTATCTAGAATGTAAATGAAATATCAATTATGGGACTAAGGCTTTTGCATTCTCCTTTTTGCACACCTTTGGTAAAGAAACCATCTTTCATTACCCTGAATATTTATCTTCACTGCACATTCTAGCAAAAAAACTATCTTTCATTAACCTGAATACACATCTTTGGCAAAGAAACCATCTTTCATTAACCTGAATGTTTACCTCTACCCTGAGGAAAGCCACTTTTCTTTTATTTGGAGGAATTCATCTTTGGCCTTTATCTTATTTAATCCTTCAAAGTAACACACAACTTCTTATGGCTTTGTTTAATTATTAATCATTATCCTAATTTCAAAATGTGGGACACAAGTTATGCACTTCTTCCATTCATGGTAAAGTATGAATAGAAAAGATAAATATATTGGCAATGTATAGAACTAAGAGAGAATAATAAGATGGCTATCATTTATTAGGATAAGCAAATTACAAATGATGGTATAAAGAGATAAAGAGACTATTCAGAAGTAGCTATTTGGGGTAACAATGCCCCCAGACAAATGGTTAAATAACCTTGCAACAAATCTTGGATCTTCTTCATAGACTCAATCAAAATACGATGCCTCGACATCTTAAAGCTCTTTGAAGTTAATTATCCTTAGTATGCCTTCTAAGTGATGTCGTATTCTATTCACTCGAGTTTGTTTTCATTCAATTCATGCTGCTTTCAAGGTTTTCAACTCGAACCTTTTTATTTGGATCCAAGCCGTCCTTTAAGTTTTCAATTTAAACTTTTTTTTATTTTTTTTATTTTCTTTAGTTCAAGTTGCCTTTTCGAGTTTTCAACTTGAACTTTTTTTTTTGTTCAAGCTACTTTTTCAGGTTTTTAACTTGACTTTTTTTTATTTAAGCTGTCTTTTCAGGTTTTCAACTTAAACTCTTTTTTTGTTTAAACTGCCCTTTTGGGTTTTCAACTTGACCTTTTTTTTAATCAAGTAAAGTACTTCTTTACTGTATCAAAATTAATAAGACTAAAAAGTTCATCTCCATCCATTTTTTACAAAATTAAAGCTCCTCCCGAATTACAACATATGATCATTCCGAATTCGGGGTCTATTTACCTTTATCATCATGTTAACTTGGAAGAATTCTTTTCTATACCAACTCTCTTTTTCAAAACTGATGAGATCTGACCTTTTTGTCATAAGCTCTCATCATTCTCTTTTGGTACAATTGGCCATGGCAAAATGCCATTAATCTCTTCTCCTTAATAAAGTTCAATTGCTCATAGTACTCCTGAATCCATTCAGCTTCTTCTAATCCCACTTCTTTTAGGACCTTTAGTGATGGGATTTCTATTTCTACTGGCAATACGGCTTCTATTCCATAAACTAGGGAAAAAAGAATTGCCTTAGTAGAGGTGTGTATGGAAGTTCAATACACATGTAGAGCAAAAAGCAATTTCTCGTGCCAATCCTTATATGTTTTAGTCATCTTTTCTAGAATTCTTTTGATATTTTTATTTGTAGCTTTTACTGCTTCATTCATTTTTGAATGGTATAAAGCTAAATTGTGGTGTTTGATCTTGAACTGAACATATACTTTTTGCATTATTTTGCTATTCAAATTCTTAGCATTATTTGAGATAATTCTTTCTGAAAGCCCATGTCTACAAATTATCTCTCTTTTAATGAATTTACATACCACTAATCTAGTCACAGTTGTGAAAGAGGTGGCTTCAACCTATTTAGTGAAGTAATCAATCATCATAAAAATGAATCTATTCACATTTAAGGCTTTTGGTGTGATAGGACCAATGACATCCATTTCTCACATAAAAAATGGCCAAGGTAATGCTATAACATGTAAAGCACTGGGTTGAATATGGATCTTATCAACATAAATATGGCATTTATGATATTTTTAAGCATAATCAATGCAATCTTTTTCCATTGTCAACCAATAATATCTTACTTGCATGAGTTATTTTGCCATCATATGTCCATTTGCATGTACTCCACATATGCCATTGTGAACTTTCTTGATAATCTTTTTGGCCTCAGAGACACCTACACAACGTAATAATACTTGATCTTTACCTTGTTTGTATAGAATTTTCCCATCCAAAAAAAATCCTATAACCAACCTTCTTAAGATTCTCTTATCATTTTTTATTACTAGATCTTGGTACTAGTGATTTTTTAAATATTGCATAATATCATAGTACCAAAGGTGACCATCTTCTTCCCCTTTCAAGTTGGCATAATAGAGTGGCACATCTTTCATATCTAATTTGATAGGCTAAATTTTAGCAGTATCACCAATCCGTACCATTACGGCTAAGGTAGCCAAGGCATATGCAATCTGGTTTTCTTTATTAGGTAAAGGTTCAAACTGAATTGCTTTGAATTGTTTACACAGCTCTAAGATGTATTTGTGATAAGGAATAAGTTTTAAATCCCTTGTTTTCCATTCACCTTTTAGTTGATAAATGACTAGAGCTGAATCCCTAAACACCCTTAATCTTTCAATTTTTTTGTCCAAAGCAACATGCAGCCCCATAACACAAGCCTTATATTTAGCTACATTATTGGTATAGTTGAAATTCAATCTTGTTGTAACAAGGTAATAATGTTCTATTAGAGATATTAAAACTGCTCCAATCCTATGTTCCATGGCATTCGTAGCCCTATCAAAATACATCCTCCATATCTCTTTCTTCTTATCATCTTCTTCTAACTCTGAGATGGCCATTAGTTTCTCATTTGAAAAATCAAGCTTTATAGGCTCATAATCATCAGTAGCCATGTTTGCTAAGAATTTTACAATGACATTTCTTTTTATTACTTTTTGGCTCATGTATACTATGTCATATTCAGAAAGCATCACCTATCATCTTGCAATTCTTCCTGATAGTGATAGTTTCTTAAAGATTTATTTGATGGGATCCAATTTAGCTATGAGCCAAGTCGTATGGTAAAGCATATATTGCCTGAGTCTTTTAGCTATCCAAGTCAAAGCACAACATATTTTCTCTAATGATGAATACTTGGACTCATACTCTGTGAATTTTTTGCTCAAGTAATAGATAGCTTTCTTTTTTTTATCGGATTCATCTTATTGGCCCAGCACACATCCTATTGATCCCTCATATACCATTATGTATAGAATCAATGATTTTCTCAGAATAAGGGGTTTTAATATTAGAGGATTTGATAAGTACTACTTAATTTTATCGAAGGCTTATTGGCATTGTTCATTCTATTCCCCAAGATTATTCTTTTGAAGGAGTTTGAAAATGGAGTCACATTTAAGAGTGAGTTAAAAAATGAATCGGGATATATAGTTCAATCTGCCCAAGAAACCTTGAACCTCTTTTTGTGTGCTTGGCGAAGATAACTTTTAGATAGCATGGATTTTGTCCACTTCTATCCCTCTTTCACCGATTATAAATCCCAATAGCCTCTTTGACCTGACTTTGAATGTATATTTGATTGGATTCAATTTGAACTGAACTTACTCAACCTTTCAAATAATTTTCTAAAATTGACTACATGATCATCTCTTTTTTGAGATTTGGTAATCATGTCACCATATACACTTCAATCTCCTTTTGTATCATATTATGGAAGAGTGTTACCATAGCCCTTTAATAGGTTACCTCAGTATTTTTTAGTCCAAAAGGCATAACTTTATAGTAAAAAGTTCCTCACATAGTGATAAATATGGTTTTCTTCATATCATTTTGGGCCATCTTTATCTAATTGTAACTAGAAAATCCATCCATGAAAAAGAATATCAAATGTCAGGCTGTATTATCCACCAAAGTTTCAATGTGAGCTAGAGAAAAATTGTCTTTAGGGCTAGCTCTATTCAGATTTTTATAATTTACACACATCTATACCTTTCTATCCTTTTTGGAGACAGGTACTATATTAGCCACCAATTTAGGATATTTGGCCACTTGTAAGAAGCCTGCATCAAATTGCTTTTTAACTTCCTCTTTGATTTTCAACAGCATCTCCGGTTTCATTTTTCTTAGCTTTTGCTACACCGATTTGCATTCTGGTTTCAATGGTAGCCTATGTTTCACTATTTTAGTGCTGAGTCTAGGCATATCTTGGTAGGACCAGGCAAATACATCCACAAACTCCCAAAGTAAATCCTTTAACTGCTACCGGTCAACCACTAAAAGTGAAGTACCAATCTTGACTTCTTTCTTGTTTTCGACATCACCCAAATTGATCAATTCAACAACTTCTTGGTGAAGCTCAATAAATTTATCTTTCTATTCAATTAGCCTCATTAAATCCAGGGATAAAGTGTATTCCTTAGAATCTTCTTTAATATCAAGTTCATCGATATTAATTGAGTTTTCAAAATTAAACTTTGGATCATTTTCATGATTACCTTCGCATTCATTTGGGGACCTGAAAGTTAATAGAATAGGAAATATTGGCAAGAAACTTTGATAGGGTAATGAATGGAATGGAAAAAATGAACAAAATGCATGATCCTATTTTTATTGATATAATGAAAAATAAAAGGCTCAAACATAATAGTTCATCCTAATATTTTTGGGCATAAACAATTAGGAGATGTGATTACATTGAAGAAAAATAAAAAATAATAGGCATTTGGATGACCCTCTAATTTTGCAATTCATATCTCGACAGGCAGGGGTAAACCAAAGCTTCCTTATTTTGACTTTCATTATCCACCATATGAATAGATGGCTTGGTAAAAGCTTCGTCCTATTTTGATTCTTCTTTTGCATTCTCTTTAACTCTTAGGTACATGTATCCTCTAAGAATAAAAGTCTCACTTAAACGAGGAACAACCATTAGTTTTTTCTTTGCCTTCTTACTGTGGCTTGGTACTTTCTCCATCTCATAACCTAGTCTTACTTTACCACTATTGTCTTTAAGTTTCGAGAACTCTCTCTTCCTTTGAAGTTTCTTGTCCAAATAAAACCCAATACTCTAACCTTTATTAACCATATGATTGATCACAATCTGGCTAAATTTAAGTCCTTTACCCACTGCATTAATAGGTTCAAAAGGCCAGTAAAAGCATTCTAATGATTCTTCTGCCACTTCTACATATGGGGCATTTATGGGTTGGGTCACTAATAAGTCTTCTTCCCTAGCCACAATCATAAGCTATCCTTTTACATTAAATTTGATCTTTTGATGCAATAAGAAAGGGATGGCACCCACTTTGTGGATCCATAACCTTCTCAATAAGCAACTGTATGATAGGGAGATATCAATGACTTAAAATTTTATATTGAAAACATATGGACTAATTTGCATAGGCAGCTCAACGTCTCTCAAGACTTATCGTTTAGTCCCATCAAATGCTCAAACCACCATATGATTGTTTTGGATATGGGACATATCAAAGGGCAACTTGGCTAAATGGACATAATCATGACATTAATAGCTGATCCATTATTAATAAGGACCTTAGCTACTATATGGCTTTTACATTTAATAGTGATGTGTAATGCCTTAGTGCTCATTCCATCTTCAGGCAGAATCTCATCATCGATAAAAGAGATATGATGTGGCACCACTAAATTCCTCGCCAAGTGATTCACATACTCTACGAATACATTATGGGCCACATAAGCCTAATTCAATACCTTTAATAGGGCATTACGATGTGGTTCATAATTTAAGAGAAGTGATAGTAGAGAAATTCTAGCTGGCATCTTATTCTGTTGCTTCACTACAAAATATTCGCTATACTTAACTAGCTTTAAGAACTCACAGGCTTTTTTTTTAGGTACAAACTTTGAAACATCTTTCTTTAAAATCTCTGGCTCAGTTTGCTTCTCCTTTTCTTTTCCTATTTTCTTTAAAGTCTCTAGAGTATAACATCTTTCACTTCTAGTTATGCCCTCTACTCCTATTATGTTGGCATATTTAGATTTTGGCATACCCTTTTGTTACCCCTGAGTCGTCACCTCATAGTCATACCTCTGTAGTACTACTTTTTTATCTTTGTAAGGGATTGGGTGTGGAACTTTGAAAGCTACTGGTTTGGGGATAACCTTATTCCCAACTGATTGTGTCTTTTCTTTATAACCTATGATGATTGGTTTTGGCACCCATCTATCTGTCATAGCCACCCTAATGTCTTTTGAGGCTCTTGACTCTTCATATAACTCTATTTGGTAAGAGTCCATCAGCTTCTGAACTTTACCAAAAAATTTCTTGCAAATGTTAATTGAGTGTTCTAGTGCCCCGTTATGATACTTACATATTTGATTTAGGATGCCTCTTCACATATAAGTGCATGGAGCTATTAGTTGTATCATCCTAACTTTAGATAGGGCTTCATATAGCTAGTTAAATGGTATCTTAAGCTCATCTACTTTTTTTTTCACATGTTTTTACCCACATCCAGAACATTGATTGGGTAGGGGATTCTCGCTGACATTGGGTGCTGAATTTCTACTAATGTTAAAGCTTATCAATCTTTTCTTGATCAGACTTTATACCTTATACTTAAAAGAGACATAATTTTTAGTAGAATGCCCTGTTACTCTAAAATGGTAGTCACAGTGAGCATTGAAATCATATCATTTAAGATAAGGAGGTTCAAGCTATTTAGCAGGGATATAAGCAATTATGTGGTTCTTGTAAAGTTCTTGGTATAGCTCAATGTAGCTTATGGGTATAGGATCAAATGTGGGTCTTTCCCTAGTTCTTGGTTTTTTGGTATTACTTGTAGTGCTGATTGGATGAGCAAGGGATCTTGGTGAAGATGGATAAGATGGTCGAGTGGTTGATTGGTAAGGAGATACGAAAGTATGGTTCACCATGTAGTGGTATGTAGGGTAGATAGACCGAGAGTAGTTTTTAAATTGCTGCCCTTCAAGACTCATAGCTTGAGTTTTATTTTCTTTCTTCTTAAACATTCTTTTAGAAGATTTACCTTTTTCAAGCTTACCATTTTTTATGGCATTTTTGATGATCTCTCATGAAATCACCATATCAACAAAATTTTTAGTTGTATTTTGGATCATCCTCTCATAATAAGGTGACTTTAGAGTGCTCACAAATAATACCGTAGTTTTTTTTTTTCATCAAAGAGGTTGTATTTAGATAGCTACATCCCACCACCTTCAGGTGTATTACTTAAAGGATTTCAGATGCCTTTTTTTCTATTATTTGCAAGAAAAGACGGTCAGGTGCCATGTCAATGATATGACGATAATGGTTAATAAAAGATCAGGTCAGATCTTTCCATGTCTTTATATGGGTCCTATCTAATTGAACATATTACCTTGCTGTAGATCCAGTTAAGCTATCTTGAAACACATGTATAAGCAATTTCTCATTACTAGCGTGTGCCATCATTTTATGATAGTATATGGTGATATGTGTGATAAGACACTTAGTACTGTCATACTTCTCAAACTATAATACTTTAAACTTAGGTGGTATCACCATATCTGGTACTAGGCAAAGTCCCACTGCATCCATGGATCTATAAAAGTTAGTTCTTTCCATAGCCCATAATCTTTTTTCAAGCTTGTTCATTACCTAATCAGTTTTAGAATTCTCTAAGGGCATAGCTGTCTGTAGCTTCTTTTTCTGCTTTGTATCATCCAAAGTAGGGAGCTGAATGGGTTCAGCTATCTTTTTAACGAAAATAAGATTATCATAACTTTGGACATTTTCATAACTAGATGCATAAGTCATTCCCGAGTAGTTGTATTTTGGAAAAGCTGTTTGTTGAGGTTGGAATATTAGGGTAGTTTGAGTTTATTATGGGTCAAAGCCTGGAGGATATGC